TGCTAGTCTTGCTGTTAGTGTACAGTATGAAAAAAAATTTAATAAACGTTTAATTACATCAATTATTTATCCACAAAATAAACAAGGTGAACCAGTTTATAATCCATGTGGAAAATATATGGTTCGATTTCATCTTAATGGTGTTTGGAGAAAAGTTATTATTGATGATACTCTACCAACTGATCGTTCAAATCGTAATTTAAATGAAATTTATAAAAAGATATAGTACAGAATATTATTCTCTAGGTCTACTTTGTTCATCAACAACTAATAAAAATGAAATTTGGGTTAGTTTATTAGAAAAAGCATATATGAAAGTTATGGGTGGATATGATTTTCCTGGTTCGAATTCAACAGTTGATCTTCATGCATTGACCGGTATGTTAAAATTCAAAAGTTTGATTTCATCAAACAAGTGAAATTTCTTTAGGATGGATACCAGAACTCGTTTCTATTCATCATGACGAACCAAAATTTGATAAAGATAAAGAATTTGATCGTATGTTTGAACGTTTTCATGCTGGACATGTACTTATCACAGTTGGTAAGATTTTTTCAAAAGCTTAAATCAATTATTTTCTTTTCATTATTATTAAGCTACACCAAATATACCAAAAGATGAAGAAGATCGTAGTGGTCTTGTTTCAAGTCATGCATATGCTTTACTTGATATGCGTCAAATTGGTGGTCATAAATTAATAATGTTAAAAAATCCTTGGTCACATTTAGAATGGAAAGGTAATTTTAGTGATTTTGATACTCGAAATTGGACACCCGAATTAGTAAAAGCACTTAATTATGATCCTAAATTACAAGTCGATGTTGATAATGGTGTTTTCTGGATTGATTATAATAGTTTATGTCATCATTTTGAAAATTTCTATCTTAATTGGTCTCCATCATTATTTTCTTATACATCATGTATTCACAATTCGTGGCCAGCTCGACAAGGACCAGTGAAAGATCTTTATAATCTTGGTGACAATCCGCAATATGTACTTCGTATTAATCCAAAAGCACGCTCATCAATTTGGGTTCGTTTCATAGATTTGTTTTGTGTTTTTCAGTTTTTTTAATTTAATAGGTTCTTTTAACACGACATATAACTGAACGACAAGATTTTGCTGTAAATCGTGTATTTATAACATTATTTGTTTATAAAAATGGTGGAAATAAAGTTTATTATCCAAATGAAATCAAACCTGTACAAGATGGTGTTAAAACAAATTCAGCACATTATCTGGTTAAACTTGTTACCGATGATGCTGATATAAATGGACAAACATTATATACACTTGTGGTATACAATTAAATTTAAATATCTAAATGATTTTTGATTTATTTAGGTTTCTCAATATGAAAAAAATGTTGATATTTATTATTCGTTACGTGTTTATTCAACGTGTGAATTTAGTTTAACCCCAGTTCCAGATTATTATAATCCACGTTATCAACAAGAAATAACAGGTGAATGGAAAGGTAAAACAGCTGGCGGTTGTCCAAATAATCCTTCGACATATAAAAATAATCCACTCTATCAACTTGTATTAAATAATCGTGAAGGAACTAATCATGGTACGTAGAAATTATAAATAAAACGTTTTCTGTCAAATCTAATTTATTTCTAGTTAAAATTGAATTACGTGCACCAAAACAATTTCAAGTTGGATTTGAAGTCATATGTACAGAAACAAAAATTTCTAATGCTCCTGGAGAATTTCATAAAACAGAATCCGGTGCATATCGATCAGGATTTTGTGTATTAACACTTGATAATATACCCGGTGGTACATATACAATTCGTCCGGCTACATTTGATCCTAATCGTGAATCAGCTTTCTTTCTTCATATAGCATCGTCTCATTCGTGCACATTAACAAAATTATGATGATTTTTATGACAAGCTTCTATTTTGTATGGATTGTTCAAATGAAATGCATAAACCCTGTGCAGATTATTTTTTTTTATTTGTAATCTTTCTTTTCTGTATAAAAAAATGTAACGATAATCTTTTTTTCCCATAAGAAATAATGTCGAACATTAAAGTATATAAATATAACGTTTGCGATGATTTAAACGCAGAAAGTAACAATCACTAATAGTCAACGACCTCTTAGATTTATATAAATTTAAAAAGATAGATGGCGTATTTTGTGTCAAGTTCGAAAAACGAATTTTTAATTATTTATTTTGTTTATATTTTTTATTTAGAAATCAAAAAAAAAAGATATTACTCGAATTAATATTAAAAAAAACTTTCAAATCGGTAAATAACACATGAGTATTTTGACATATGAAATTGAAACATGAGTAATAAAACTCATGAAGCAGAACGCTAGGTTAATACAATCTGTTATTTATACGAAACATTTAATCTATAGTTTTCTATATATCTATTTCGTGCATTTAAAATGAACACTTGTATAGTATCAATGAAGGCAAAGCTTAGTTTTAATCCATCATGTTGAGATATAATCTATAAAATAAAGGTTTCATTTTATTCGTACATTTCAACGAATAATAATCGGTTGATTGAGTTTATGCGTTTGGTAAATCGAGAAATGGTTGATTACGAATTCATAGAATGGCATATGTCGCATGTCACAATAGAAGAAAAAAAATATTTCTTTTATATATTCAGATATTTTCATTTTAGGTTTGATTATAATTTATCTATAGAAAATAATGTAAATTAAATTATTATTCCAGCACTCCTTTATTTTCTTCACAAAAAAAATGTTTCCGTCCATTATTTTTCCTATTATCTTATATTTTCTGTTAATTCCAATAATAAAATCAAGTACAAATTCTTTAACATCAATTGTAATTCAAGTAAATGGTGATTGTAATATACTTGCTGTTAGAATTGCTCGAGAACATGGATATCGTTATGTTCGACAGGTTTAATTTAATATTCTAGTATTAAATAAATATATATATTCATTTAGATTTTTGATGGTTTTTGTGAAATTGAAGAAGATCCAGCATCACATAATTATAGACGACATCGTCGAGCTACAGGACAAAATACTGATCCAGTTGAAATTATTCGTAATCATGAAAAAGTACATGAAATAAAATATTGATTTCTTTATTTTTTTTAAATATGTTTCTTCAGGTTGCATGGGCTGAAGAGCAAACTCCAAAAATACGGCGAAAGCGTGAATTTGAATTTCAAGATCCTGAATGGAATAATATGTGGTATATGGTAAGAATAGTTGTTAATATTTATGTCATTAATAATTTATTTTTTCTTATATCTAGATGCGACATTTAAATACACCTAGTTTACCAGATTTAAATGTCACTGGTGCATGGAAAATGGGTTATACAGGTCGAGGACGAGTTGTAACGTTTCTTGATGATGGTTTAGAATTTGATCATCCAGATTTAAAAGAAAATTATGTTCGTATATATTAAAATTATGTTTGACCTTTTTAAAAAAGAAAAGAATTTATTTTTCTTATTAATAGGATCATGAAGCCAGTACAGATATTAATGGTAATGATAATGATCCAACACCACGTTATGAACCAACGAATGAAAATAAGTCAGATGATAATATTTGAACTAGTTTGTATAGAAATAAATAATTTTTGATTTAGACATGGTACTCGATGTGCTGGTGAAGTATCAGCAAAACCAAATAATCAAGTATGTGGAGTTGGAATTGCTTATCATGCTCGAGTCGGTGGTGTTCGAATGTTAGATGGTGATGTTACAGATAGCGTTGAAGCACGATCGATTAGTCATCGACCTGATCATGTAGAAATTTATTCAGCTAGTTGGTAAATTAGATTTTTTTCTACAGTATTTGTTTTCTTTTTATTAATATAATTATTTTGTATGTTCAGGGGACCAGATGATAATGGTTTTGTAGTTGATGGACCTGGTGTATTAGCTACAAAAGCATTTGAAAATGGTATTTTAAATGTAAGTGAATGAAATTATTATAAATCTACTAATTTTTTAAAATATAGGGCCGTGGTGGAAAAGGATCGATCTTTGTTTGGGCAAGTGGTAATGGTGGTCGATCTGGAGATTCATGCTCTTGTGATGGTTATATAAATTCTATCTACACAGTATGTTTTATATTATAAAGAGATATCAAATAAATCAGCTTTTATTTGTATTTCTTTGTTAGATTGCTATTAGTTCTACAACTGAAACGGGACGTATACCATGGTACCTTGAAGAATGTTCTGGTACTCTTGCTACAGCATATAGTAGTGGTTCACCAAGTGATAAAGATCGTGAAATTGTACGTTATTAATTTTTAATATACTCTTCGTTTATTATTATTATATGTTTTTTTAAAGGTTACGACCGATTTACATCATGGTTGTACAACTCATCATACTGGTACATCAGCAGCAGCTCCATTAGCTGCAGCTATATATGCTCTTGCTCTTGAAGCCAAGTATTTTCTTCCAAAAAAAATTTATTTCAGCATGTATCGAATATAATTTATATTTTTCTAGTCCCAGTTTAACATGGCGTGATATTATGTATTTAACAGTTCTTAGTTCGCGTGCATATGCTATTCCATCCAATACACAAATTGTTCAAAATGCCGCTGGATTTAATGGTAAAATAATTTTTATTTTATTGTCTCTTTATTGTGATGTTTTTCTTTTTAAGTAAGCAGTAGATATGGTTTTGGTCTTATGGATGCTGGTTTAATGACATGGTATGCATCTGGTTGGAAAAATGTTCCAACTATGTCTACATGTGAAACAATGATTATGAATCCAAATATAACTATAGGATCTAATTCAAATAAAATGTTCTCAGTTGATGTAACAGAATGTAAAAATAGTAATGATGCTAAACGTCAAGTAAATTATATTGAACAAGTACAAATATTTATAACTTTAACAACTACAAATCGAGGACAAGCAGAAATTTTTCTTTATTCACCATCAAATACAAAAACACAAATTTTACCAGTTAGAAAAAAGATACATATTTTGATTCAAACTAAAATTTTTGTATTGTAGAGACGAAATAATGATCATAATGAACAAGGTTTTGCAAATTGGCCTTTTCTAACAGTACAATTATGGGGTGAAAACCCACATGGAAACTGGAAACTACAGATAAATACAGGTGGAGGATCAGGTAAAGCCATATAGAATCTATATTCCCTTACATATTCATCGTCATACTATTTTTAGCTGTTTTGATGTCTTGGAAACTTGTTATTCATGGTACACGAGATAATCCAATATCACCTCGTGTACTAAAGGAAACGAATTCATCACCTGTAAGTATTCGTCTATTCTTATCCTTATTTTCTTCAACTTCGTCTCATATTTCTTTTCCATCTATTTTTATATATATATGTTTTTTAATTTTTATTTGCTTCTATTTAAATTTGTTTTAAACAACATAATAGTAATTTATTTTCTACAGATATATTTTATGAGTATGTAGTTATTTAATTTTTTTACATTGTATAAATATAATATTAGCTATATGAACTATTATTTAGTTATCATAATAGAATATTTTCTAAGTTTTACTATGTGAGACACTATTCGTGATAATTTCCTTTCATAGATTCTTTGTTCTTTATCGTTATTGTTTTTTCTTAACTTCGAATAAAATAATAGTTTATAACGAAAAAATTTCAAAGAGTATTACTCATTAGTATTATTTAGACAATGATATGAATGATTGAATAGGTAAATTATTCCGAGTACTATTTGATATTGTATTATGTATTTGTATAGAATAAAAAAATAATTATAAGTGTTGAGTAAATCTATGTAATTATATTAGAGCTTATATTCTTGTGTGTGCTCTTTCGATTAGTTAAAAGTTGCTTGGCTATTTTTGTATATTCTTGTAAAAGAATTATGTGGATTGCTTTAAAAACTTATCTTCTATTTCCCTCATTAATAAATATATATCTTTTAGTGTCATGTCGAATGTAAATCTGATAAACCCTGTGGTGAAACAGATACAAGTTGTGCAGAATGTCGACATTATAAACAACCATTAGCTAATGAAAAATTGTAAGTAGATTCTATACGAAAAAGAATTGTTTTTTAGTTTCGTTTGTTCTTATTTAGTCGATGTGTGGGTATATGTCCTGAAGGTACTTATCCAACCGAAGTAGATAATTTATGTTTACCATGTCATTCACGATGTGGTTCATGTCGAAATGCTAGTGAAAATAGTTGTATTGGTTGTAAACCTGGTTTTTATCTTAGATCTGATACAATGACTTGTATTGAATTTTGTCCGGATAAATATTATACGGGTAAATAAATTGAATATGAATAAAAATTTAAAAAATCTTTGTTCTTTCTATTTAGATCAAAAACTTCGAAAATGTATACGTTGTAAAGCTGATTGTGCATCATGTGATACAAATTCGTATATATGTACATCGTGCCCTGATGGTTATGCATTAAAAGATACAGATTGTGTAAAATCACCAGAAACTTGTGATCCTTCGGAATATTTTGATTTTACTGAAAATCAGTAAAATAATTTTTGTTTTTTAAAAATAGAAAACACAATGGTTATTTTTTTCTAGTTGTCGATGGTGTGATAAAAGATGTTCTACTTGTAGTGGACCACAATCTTATCAGTGTACATCATGTGATAAAACAAGCAAATTTCCTAATCTTCAATATCATACATGTGTTTCATCATGTTCACCGGGATTTTATCTTTCTCAAGCAGATTCTCAATGTCTTGCATGTCATGATACATGTTTAAATTGTACATCATCAAATGAATCATCATGTTTATCATGTAAATTAGGTTATGTTTATCTTCCTGAAAGTCATCGTTGTGAAAAATATAGTGGTAAACCATATTATATCGATAGTAATACCGGTGAAACACGTGATTGTCATTCATCATGTACACAATGTAAAGGACCAAAAGAAACTGATTGTATTGCTTGTAATATAGTAACAGAAGTTCTTCTCAATGATGGACATTGTGTTAATGATTGTCCAGATGGTTCTTATATAAATGAAAGTATAACAAATGAAATAGATACAAATATTTGTATGCCATGTTCAATTGGATGTAAAAAATGTAATAAAGAAAATCAATGTAGTGAATGTGATGGATCGAAAGGATATCATTTTCAAGGTGGATATTGTGTTCCAACATGCCCATTAAAGTAAATAATAGAATCAAAAATCTTTTTCTTTTAGTTTTTAATTTATTTTTATAGAACTTTTCAATTAAATACTCGTTGTGAGCCATGTCAATATCCATGTGAAACATGTATAAATTTAACAAGTTGTTTAACTTGTTCACAAAAACTCTATTTATTTAATGATCAATGTGTTGAAAAATGTCCAAATGGTTATTATTTAAAAGATAAACAATGTTTTAAGTGTAATCCATTGTGCGATACTTGTTCAGGTAAAATAATTCATTGTATTTTTAAAAGAAAATATTTCTGTTATATTAAAGGACCATCGGAAGATGATTGTCAATCATGTGCAATTGGTTTTATTTTTAATGATAAACAAAAGAAATGTTTGAGCACATGTCCTAATGGAAACTATTTTGATAAAGATGATAAAGTAAGTATAGAATAAATGACAAAAATACACTCTAAATAAAAATATTTTCTTTATTAAAGCTATGCAAATTATGTACGGATAATTGTCTTGAATGCTTATATCCTGGATCTTATTGTCGACAATGCTCGTATCCAATGTCACTTAATGAATCAACTCATCAATGTTTATCTTGTTGCACAACAAATGTAACTACAAATGATTGTTGTCAATGTCCATCAATATGGACTGGTAAGACGATTCATTTTTATCTAGATAGATATAATTTATTTTTTTTGAAGGTTTATGTCTTCATCCACTTTCTTTATCATCAATTCATTCATCAGTTTGGTGGTTACAATCTCCGATTCAAAAAGTTCGAGATCGATTCAGTGAATTAGATCATCGACGTCAAACAGCTGTGATGATTTTCTTACTTCTTACAATATTAATATGCGGCGTTTATTTAATAGTAACTACTATTTATAAATTTAAATCTAAATTTACTCATTTCCTACCTTCACGATCACAACCTGATGATAATCGTGAATATGTTTTATTAAATAATCTAGATGATTATGATGCTGAAGATGATGATGAAATAAATAATGAATCTGTATCAAATGCAACTACCACTTCAATAATATAAATTAAATAAAACTAAATTTTATTTTATTTTCAGTTATTGTTTAATAATATGTTATTTTTTTTCAAAAACAGTGCTTTTGTGTTATTTTATTCCAATATTATTATTTTTTTGTATTAAAATGTCTTTCATTAAAATAAAACCAAAATAAGGTGTTTTTCTTTAAAGTTAATTCAAATTCAAATTTTCTCGTTAACCAATCATATAAATCAATAAAGATGACACTTGTTGTTCTATTTCATTCTTTGTTTTAAATATTAAATGTAAGACATATATCGAAATTCATTTATTTGTTTGTTTTTCTTTAAATTGAATATACAGATGAGTAGTTTACTTGATCGTCAAGGTATTCTTGATAATTTAACAGCTACGGAAACAACGGCAAGATTACTTGTAAATGCTTTTGTAAAGAAAAATAGTGATACAGAATTATGTTTAAATGGAATTTATCGAGAAGAATTAATTACTCAAACAGCAACATTTCTATCACAAGCACAACAATTAATAAAGAATCTTTCAAATACATACAATTTAACAACAGATGGATTCTTTGAAAGTAAATGATACCATTATATATAAAGATCGATAATTCGTAATATGTATTTTTTATTTTTAAGAAAAATTCATAGATACAAATGAACAGTTTAATTCAATGTATGATATATCACACAATAGCGAAGATGAAACGTAAGATGAAAGATTTTTATTAGTTTCTTCTTTTGCGATAGAAGCAATTCTAAAACACTGCTTGTAATATCTATTTGCAATCGACTATATATTTCTTTTTTAGTCATGATTCTAAAACAGCATCATCTGAGAATACTCGTTCATCGTCATCATCATCTATTACGTTGAAAGATATAATTAAAAATCGATTAACACCAGATAATCTCGTTCCTGATTATCCACTTCTTCGTGATACAAGTCAACCAAATCTTGTTATACTTGCTCGTGATCTTCGTCAAACAGATAATATCAATGATATTTTAATTAAAGTTTATTCACAAATCTTTAATTATGAAGAACAAATTTCATGTAGTTATGATAGTATCAATGGTAAATTACCATATCCACGACATAAACGTCTTCTATTTGATCTTATTATTAAACTAACACTAAATGAACATGAAAAAATACTTGATGATAACGAACGACATAATCTTTATATACAATGTGAAAAACAATTTTCAACAGAAACAGATTTAACAAATTATCAAGGAGTAAATATTGATCATCTTAATGACGATAATAATTCTTATGATGAAAAACAATTTATTTGTTCACTTTTTCGTCTTGTTATACCAAAAGAGGATATTAAAAAAATTATTGCAGCTAAACAAAATCTATCATCGCAATGGAATGATAATGAAATATGTATTTATTATGCACGTCCAATTCATTTATTATGGATTAAACAAAAATGGCTTAAACGATATCCATTAGATAGTAATAATGAATTAGAAAAATGGTCCCAATGTATAGATTGGGCTATTGATTCTTTTCTTGAAACAACAAAAGTATGTTGAAAAAAAAGAATCAAAACAATATTTATATTAATTTATTTATATTAAGACTCGACCATCGAAACGAAAAACAATTGAAGGATCAACGAATCATAAACGAGTAAAAACTCCATTAACACTTCAAGAAAGATCTAAACAAATTGATCAAACAAAATATGATGTCTTTGAATATGCTACTAAACTTCTTCAACATATTTCAAATGACAATAATAACGATTTACCAACATTGGAACAATTAAAATTACTTGAATCTTATATAATGCGTTTTTATTGGACATCCGATCAACAAAAAACATGGTCACAAATATTAGATATTATTAGTAATATTTTTATCAAAGAATCAAACAATGATTTTCGACAATTTTACGCCAAAAAATTATTGGAAATGAATAAAGATGATCAGATAGAAATTGATCGTTTGTTACAGATAACATTATAAGATTGTACAAAATATATTGTGAAAGAAATGTGATTGAATCTATGTGAATATAAATATATATATTATGTTAGTGCTGTATTTGTTGAAATAAAATACATTAGTCAAAGCTGATTGCTTATAGCAATATATGTTTTTTTGTGCAATCTATTCTTTATATACTTCACATTAGCATTAATAATCTGATTGAAATAATGTAAATATTGTTTATATAGAATTACTTCGGTGTAATATAACAAAAAACATGAACTTCTTTTACATACGGTACAATTTGATTCTAGAACAAAATAGCTTTAATAGATTCATTCAGTGCGTTATGCTTAATTCTTTGTATATAAATCAAGATATTGAAATTTGTTTAGAAATAACAAGCGACGCATGTGATAGCAACGAGAATAAAAATCTTTTGTTTTTGGTTGTTTAAAGAAGAAGAAATATGCTATACAATACCTGATCGAACAAATGATATTTTTGTCATTTATGGTCTTCTAGATAGCTACAGTTTCTTTTCAGAGTGCACGTTTTATTAAATATGGAAATTTTAAAAAAAATAGAAAGACAAAACAATTGAGAAACACAAAACAATTGAGAAAGAGAAAAAAAAGAGCAACTAGGTTAAAAAAAGAGACAATAAAATGAAGTAAGGAATGGTATTCACGGGTTTGGCTAATACTTTATATGAAAGTTCGATTTTTAGCGTGCTTCTCTGTTTGTGCCATGGTTCCTAAAGACGAAAACTAAGTGTCTTAATCACCCCATATCAAATTATTATATTGATAGAACATACCTAGCTTAATAATTCCATTCATATCTTTTTCTATTTGCAACGGTACCACCAAAATCTTTAGCAAAATCACCACCATAAGTACAAAAACAGTTATCAGTACCGGCGTTACAAGCACAAACACCGCCAGTACTAGAAGTGCCACAACAGTCAGTTCCTTGAGAACAACGAGAACCAGCACTAGTGCAACGTTTATTAAAGAATCGCTTGAGCAATTCCCGAGCAATTTCTCGAGTCTCATCGTTAAAATCACCATCTTCTAAATCTTCCATTGTTGCCCGTGCGTTGCACCATGTTGCCAGTATTGCCAAGATAAGAACACAGTATATCACTTTGATGTTGTTCATTTTACGATCGTTAATTTGGAGAAATAATATCGATAGATATTAGAGGTATAATAATATATGCTTGCAATCGTATATTAATACTTGCCTTTTTATATATCCGATGATTGCGAGAGAGAAAATAAATAAACTAACGCAGTAGCCAAAAGAGTATATTTTTCTCTCTCTCTAAGCAAGAATATATCTAATTTTGTATAGAGGTATGCTTACAACGGCACATGATCAACATGATTGTGATAGAAGAAAAGTCATTTACAAGCGCAGAGATAGGCGTACTTTATCTTCTATTCTTTTTGATGATAAAAGCTGATCGCCTCATTCACTGAGAGAGTGAAGTGCATCGATGACTGGCAATCACCTTTTTTCTTACTTGGCTCTTAGTACACGTAAACAACATCGAAAAAAGAACCTTTCCGCTTCAATTCTCTTGCGTTTCTGTCATCTTTATTTATCTTCGATTTGTCAATATTATATTTTAACCATCGTCAAGAGAAGGATCAAACGGCAAATTCTATTTTTGTAAATACTCAATATGTTTTTACATTCACAAGGTCACTAGACCAGTCATTCAGGTGAATTCATACAATTCAAATTAAAAAAATGATATAGATCACTGAAACCACTTTTTAATTTATGCTGCTTCTATTATAATAAGAAATAAATTGATTACTGTTGTCTTATATTCTGATTCCATAGTCATACTTTATTAATTCTTCTTTTTCGTGTAAGATTAACAAATTGTTAATGTTTATGAGCACACGACACTATCATATCGCATTATGCACTGTTGAATCTCAATCACCAACATAAAAAAAAAAATTAACATCACAAATGTTCTTCGGTTTTTATATGAAACAAAAATTTTGAACACAACATATTTGTACTAATGTGAAACATACTGTCAAATTTATCTCCATAATTCAGAAGACTATTTAAAAACAAAAAAATATGACTCAAAGCTTATTCAATAAATGTTGAAGAACAACAATTCTATAATTAGTTTCGTTTAGATATTATTTTTGACACTATGAAAACTACTAATGTGATTTAATTAGCCATTATAGAAGCCAGCGATGCTAACTAATACTGGTAAAGTAATTAGTATCATAACATCTATATTTCTTCACAACTGATAATTTTTCAGAGCTTTTGAAAGTAAAGTTGTCTTTAGAATTAAATACATGAGTCTCAACGATCTATTACGTTATTGATTGTCCATGTAAAAAAACAACAAATGATTAGAAATCGATTATAATGGCACAATTTTAATCCAAATTATGATTTTTAGTCAATCAGTAATCGACGATCTTGCCCTATTCTTTCCATGTTCTTGTTTTTCTTTATTTCCAGACATGATTCTTTTCGACAAAAAAGTAAAAAGAATCTCAACTTGACAAGAATCTTGTCCGATCAGTTAAAAATAAGAGAATCAGGTAAGAACTGTAAGATATTCAAGATAAGTTTACTGTTCAGATAAGAATCTTTTTCTTCCCTGTTAAAAAAAATCTTGCCTGAAAATCAAGAAAAACAAGCACCTGAAAAGAATAGGGCAAGATCGTCGATTAGTGAAAATTAAAATTTAAGTCTAAATAAATTCATTGAATAGTCTATAGTGACAAGTATCGATATTCAGAGTTTAAACACATACGATACGGTTTAATTTCAAACAAAATAGCTTTAACAAATTCATTTTGTGCACCATGCTTCACAGGCGGCACGCCGCAGTTGTGAGAGGTAAAAATAGAAAGTTATTACTACCTCTAATAATACGTATTCTAGAAGTTATTAGAAGAACGCTTAGGTACTGCGAGACTTGTCTTATAATTTTGATAGAGTGTACTTTCATCATGTATGCGAGACATCTGTTTATGTCAAATTTATCAAATTCAAGGCCGATTAGCGTTACATGATTGGAGAAAAACAAAAGCCACTCTTTCGTTTGTTTCGTGATATATGATATAGGTTATAGAGATCTTGAGTAGCTACTGTAACTGAATTTTATCGTAAAACAAGATAGAAAAAAATATTTTGAAAATAAATGAATTGATTAAATATGGGTTTTGAAATACAAAATTTATTATTATTATTTATTAAAATTAGGAGTTTAAAGAAGTTATTGCTATTCCTAGAAACTTTAACTACCACCATTCATGGCATGCTTAATCCTTTGTGAGTAAACCGAAAAGTTAAAATTTGTTCAGAAATAACAAGCGAGGCATGTGATAGCAATGAAAATCAATTATATTTCTCGATTTTAATAAAAATTCTATATTTTATTTCAATTTCTTCATAATTTTATTATCATATATGTAAATTATATAATAACTCAGAAAAAGAAAATAAAAAGAGTGACTGGATTAAAAAAAGAGATGATAAAATGAATTAAGGAAGAATAGCGACCATTTTGATTAATACTTGATATGAATATTTGATTTTCACCATGTTTGTCTGCTTGTGGAATGATTTCTAAAAACGAAAAAGAACGATCTCAATTACCTCACAACAAATTATTATATTAATAGAGCATACCTAGCTTAATATTTTCATTCATGTCTTTTTTTTACCCAACGGTACGATCGTAACCATGACCATATGCACCAGTATAAGTACAAAAATAGTTATCAATATCAGCGTTGCAAGCACAAGTACCATCAACATTAAAAAAGCCACAACATTCACTATCAAAAGAACCAGCACGAATACAAAGGTTATCAAAGAATCGCTTGTGCAATTTTTGAGCAATTTTTCGAGCCTCATCATTAAAAATAGCATCGAATAAAGCTTTCATTGTTGTCGGTTCGCTGCACCATTTTGCCAATATTGATAAGATAAGAAAAAAGTATATCAATTTCACGATGTTCATTTTGCGATTGTTGATTTGAAGAAATAATATTGATAGATATTTAAGATAGAACAATAAATGCTTATAATTATATTCTAATGCTTGTCTTTTATATATCTGATGATTGCGAGAGAGAAAATGAGACAATGAAAACTAAAAAAACTAACGCAATATTCATAATCTATTTTTCGTTCTGTTTAAATCATGATTTATCTGATGTTGCTTAGACTTTGTTTTAGCAACCATACGTCGTTAACAGAATTTGTCATACAAAAATAATTATTGTGGTTTCTGATATACTTCCTCATCGGGTTTATCATTGTTTCACAAGGAAGAAACTAGAACATATATTGGTATTTTTTTATGTTCTCTTTCCTCCTTTTCTTTCAAATTTGAGATTTTTCTGCTGAAATGTTATAGAATTAATATTGAATGAATTTCATATAATATTGTTACAGAGAATAAACATCATCTTAAGCATGAATGTATGATACTAATATTCATCTTTCAATTCATAGAATTATTAAAAAATTATACGGTATATAATTTCTAATAATAATTGAACCGACATATTGCGCTATCTAGCGAGTACAACTAAGATTAACGTCTGACGTTCGATTGGTTCGTATCATATTCAGACAGTTTTTTTTTAACTGATGTTAGGAAATTAGAAAAAAAAGTCAAATATGAGTTCATTTTGTGAAGTTATTCATATTTTTCAATCATAAAAAAAGATAAAAATCTCTTATAAACTTCAATTGATTAATATTATAAACTAAAACATATTTTATATTGTATTTTAAGTAATATCTAGATGTTTTTAAAATCATAATGTCATCTTATTCATCACGTAATAATCGTTATTATGATTCTACGCGTCCATCACATAGTGGTAACGCTCGATTACAATCAGGTAATCCTGTTGATAACGAAAATATTGAAGAAATATCTGAAGATTTACAAAAAATCTATGATGATGATTCAAAATGTGCACGTTTATTAAAGAAAGTTCTTCGTGATGAACGATCATTTGAAATACGTATGCAACGTCTTCAAGAATTTCAAGTTTATCTTGAAAAATCCGATAGTAATAAAGTAATTCATTAAATATTTTTTATTTATATTTAAAAATAATAATGAAATTTCTCATCTAGTTTATTATGAAAATAGCTCAGCCTGCACTCAATGTACTTTTCGAACAATTCCAAGAACGGTTTGTTAATAACTATTATTTTCTTTAAATGATCTTTCATTCTTTTTTTAACAGAGCTAATGAAACTATTCGATCAGAATTAGCTCGTTGTATTGGATTGATTGGCTATGTAATGCTTAATGAAGGCGAACCTAAGTATAAATAACAATTCTATTATTTCAAGAAATAAAATTCTCATTATTTTCTTTTCATTAAAAGATTTGCTGAATGGTTATTTGAACGTTTAAATGAAGTACGAAAAAATGATATTCAAAAACAATTTCTTATCAGTGCATTCCGAACAAGTATTCATAATGAACATGAAATGTTATGTTTAACTGATCATATTCAACATATAAGTGAACAATTAAAAAAAATTCTTGAATCAGTTGTTCATGCACCGCTAATGACTGTTATAACAGACACAATTATTGATCTATCAAGAATTTATCCACAAATATTTCAAGAAATTTTTGTTGTATGTTATTAAATTAATAAAAGAAATAATTTTTAATTTCAAATCTTTTTCAAAGGATATTGTTGATATTCTTATCGGATGGTATATCGAACCATTACCAACTGATCTTATACTTGAATATACAGGTCAAGCTTTACAAAAATTTCGTCCATTTTGGATTGAACAAATCGAAGGAACAACATTAACTTTATTAGATCATTTTATTGAAGATGCTGATAGTTACGCTCAAGTAAATAATTCTAATAGATTTTCTAGGAAAATTTAAGAACTTTATATCTTTTAGCAATTTGAAAATGAAGAAGAAAATAAACGAGAAGCGATGGCTTCATTCACAGATAAAATTGCTGCTTTATACAGGTAAAGATTTCGAGAATTACCATTAAATTCTCTATATCTATTTTTTTCAGAGCTTTTGCTACTGTTCTTCGTTCATTATCGGATGATTTTTCTACAACACCAAATTTACTTCCAATTGAATATGTTGAAAATTGGTTACAAAAAATTATACATACAACAACTATAATCAAACACGATAAATCTTTTGGTATTCTAGCTAAACATGCTAATACAGCTGTTTATATTCTATTAGAAATATTTACACAATTTGATGAACAATTACAAAAAGATATATTTGATTTTATTAGTCAACAAACAAATCTTCAAAAACAAGATTGGCCATATGAAGCTGATGTTAATTTACTTCGTTTAATAATGAAAGTTATTGATTTAGCTAATCATGATTCATGTGCTATATTAGCTAGTTCAATATTTGCATTTAATTCACGTATATGGCTCTATAGATTTTTATATTCGAATTTGGTAAATTAAATTAAAAAATAGATCATTTTTATATATTTATTTATTTCTATAGCTTATACAAGATGTTTTACAATTATTTAATCGTCTATTAACAATAAAAAGTATTCCAGTTGTTCAACAAGTTTATCAAGCAATTTTAGCTGATATGACATCAAATTTTAATGTACTTTTAAATGTACTCCAACAGAAATCGATTACTATCGGTAGTGGAACATCAACGACTAGTGATTTAAATGAAGATGATGCTGAAGCTGCACTTATTTTTGATTGCAGTGCTTTATGTCAAATTGGAAATGTAAAAGGAAATTTAATTGGAGTAAGTTAATACTAAAAATAATCAATTGAGATTTTATTTATAATTTTAAAGATGTATGCACTTTCACCACCACTTTTTGAATTACTTGCTAAACATCTTCAATTAACAAATTCTAAATTAGCGCGACAATATCCAGCTGTACATTATGGAGTACTTAAAACTCTTTATTCTCATTGTGCTGCGTGAGTATTAATCAAAAGAAAAATGTCTTATCAATAATTACTTCTGAATTGTTTTAGACATGAACATTTTATACATAATTCCGATCTATTTAAACAAAATGATACAAATAGTGTTATGAGTTCCACAAGTTTAACAAAAGATAATTTCGAAGATTTATTAAAACTTCATCATCGTCTTATTGTTAATAGTCATCTTAGTTGTCATGATACAAAGTAAAATAAATACGAAAAATAAATAAATAAATAAAGAATTTTTTTATTTAGAAAATTAGTATTAAATTGGCTTGCTGAAATTATTGATGCATTACCACAAGAAGATAATGGATTATTGACTTTACCACTTTTACTTAAATTATCACATGCTATTATTGATATAGGTAGAGACTTTTCGTTTGTAGTTTAAATATACATCATTACCCGACGAATTATATATTTATTTAGCTTATTCGGATGAAGAAGAAATCTGTAATTTATGTTGTCGTTTATTAAGTAAAATTGTTAAAAGACAACGTGATCTTGATGTATCATTCTTAGTTCGGTAGGATAAATCTATAGAATTCTTCGAATAAATCTAAACTTTCATATTTAAGTTTATTTGATTTATGCCGATTTTGGTTACAATCCAATGAAACATCTATTCATGATAGTTATTATGCTATTCTATGTTGTTTACCTGTTAATATTTTAACTAGGTTAGTTAATAATTCATTGGAAATAACTTCATTAAGAATATATATATTTCTTTAGTAAATTTCCAACACATGGTACATTATTATCATCTAAAAATGATTATTCCGGTTTTGCTAGTATTGTTAAACGAAATCATATGAATACACCATACTTAGGAACATTTACAACACATTGCTTTAATCTAATATTAGGTTATGTACTTGTTAATCATCAAATGCCGTAGGTTTTCTCATTTTGAACATATTTACAATTGTCTCTTTTTCTTATCAGACGTATGTATGCAAGTACATGGCTTGAACGTTTATTTCAATCATGCCAACGTAAAAGTAAAAATGGATTATCAAATGAAGAACAATTATCTGATAATCAACATCGTATGTTAAGTTATGAACAATTACCAAATTTTGGAAATGATGCATTGGTTTGTTTGACTCATCACAAATTTTGATATTGAAGGATTACTATTTTGTTTAAATTTAGATATGGTTTTGGGCTATATGGGAATGTGCACAATTTTGTGTCATGAATAAGTTAAAGACACCACTTGGAAAACCACAAGAAACATTTTTAGCACTTGAAGGTAACTTAATTAGTACAAGTATTTTACGGAAGTGTCAATGTTCTTATTTAGAAACGTTACGATTTTTTGCTTGGCCAGTTAATAATAATAGTAAAAAAAATGAAGGATCTTCATCTGAACAAATCAATCGTTCATCAACACCAAATCCTCCAGTAACATCATCATCAAATGAAGTAAACCTATCAACAGATAAAGGTGATTGGTGGTGTGATTTACATCGTTGTGGTCTTTTATTACAATTAATTGAAGCACTTGAAAAATGTATGTATAATGCATATGAAGGTGCAGCACTTTCACTTCCACAATTACCAAAAGTAAATTTTTCTTCTTTTAAAATTTCGTTTTTTCCTAATTTCACTTTTATAGCCTGTGAAATTCTTTTTTATTACAAACAAATCTACATGTCTTGAATGGCTTAATCGTATACGTATTCCAATTATATTAACAGCTGTACGAAGTGGTCAATATGAATCAGCTGTACGAAATTGTAATCAATATTTAATGCATGTTTGTTCATTAGGTCAAGCAGAAGTAAAATAAATTTTTTTTGTTCTATTTAAAACCAAACAAACAATCATATATTTTAAGGCATCCGAATTTGAATTTGTTATAATATCATTTGTTCAATCACTTATTAAACTTCATAATAGTATGGCAATTCATGGCATATATATTTGGTTAAAAAATCATCATCAACTTGATTGGACATGGATACAAGCTTGTGAACATGAAGCAGCTGGTAATCTTGAACAAGCTGCATATGAATATAAATTATTATTAAATGATCATTTTAAAATTTTATCAAAACTCAATGAAATCAATGATGAAAAAATATCGAGTCCATTAATTAAATTTTTAACACAAAAAGTAAAATTTAAAATAAGAAAATGAAAGAGATTAATTTTTTTTGTTTGCAAAGGTATATGATTGTTATTTAAGTCTTCATCAATGGCCAGAATTAATTGCATGGAATGATGCATGTATTAAAATGCAATTAGTCTTTTTACAAGATGATAAAGATGATTTACGTACAGCTATGGAATCAACAATTGATATGAATGCAATTCGGTATAGTTGTTATTTCAAGAAAGATTTTTTTTATTTTATGAATATTTTAGAGCTATGAGTTGTTTTGAAAATCGAGATTATGAAGGTTTAAAATTAGTTATGAGAAAAATGCCAAATGCACAAGAAACAGGTGAAGAACTTGGAAGAAGTATATCATGTGGTTGGGATATGGAAGCATTTGATATGTTAGCAAATGTTGAAACATTAAAAGGTGTATCAAAACGGAGGTAAATTAAATTTATTCTCGATAAATTTTAATAAAACTATTGTTTGTAAAGATCTGGTCTTTGGTCATTAAATGCAGTACTTCAATTAACACAAGATTTAACCCGAATTCATAATGTTGACGAACATGCTTCATGGTCGGAAGAAAGAGCAGCTATAAGTCAAGTTGCAGCTCTATATCAAAGCGAAGTAAGAAGAAGAAATTTATTAATAGAATTAATAATTTTTATTTAGAATCGTGAAGTTCCACTATTACCAGGACATAAATTTGCACCAGTTCAACATAGTGTACGAGCATTGAATTCTGTACTTCTCTATAGTCAACCAAGTTTTAATAATCAAAGTAAAATAGAAATTTATTTATGATTTATTTTTTATTATAAATTTCTAGATGCATCATCAACTATAAATTCAAATTGGACCGCTCTTCGAATGGGTGCAGCACGATTAGCACGTCAACAAAATAATTTTACATTAGCTTCAAAATTATTAATTCAACAATTTCAATCAACTCATACATGGTCAACAGGTCCTTCAACTCCACAATCGAATAATACTCCTTTAGGTTCTCCTCTACGTTCATTTCATTCGGATATATCATCAACAGAAACATATTCTCTTGCATCACTTATAACCATGATTGAACGTTATCAAAATGCACATATGGTTTCAATTGAACTTGAAACAGAAACAGCAAAATTAATACATGCACTTGCATTAAATAAAGCAAATAATATAAATATAACAATTGCGATTGAATTTCTTTCACGGTCAATTCTACGACATTTAATAAATGAAAGTCAAATTAATCAAGCTTATAATAATAATAATCAACGTACATTAATAAATATTGAGAAATGTTCAAGAAATTTATTACATATTGCCAGATGGTCACGTACAGCAATTGATAATAATTCTGAAACAACATCATCAAATGTAATGTCATTAAGTAAATTATTTCAATTAAGAAAACAATATCTTCATACGGGATTAGGTGTTGATATTGCTGGAGGTTTGATTATTTTTAAATAATAAATAAAATCGTTTTCTTTTTTTTGTAGAACCTTTTGTTCGAAAAAATATTCCATTAGATGAATTATTAATTGGAGAATTATTAGATTTTTCAGCATTAACTTGTCCAAATCTAGCGAAAACATGGTTTCGATTTGCAGATTGGGCATATGCATGGGGACGACAATTACTTGCTCGATCAATACCGTATGTTATACATCTAGTATAAAATTATTTCATTCTCTTTCTCTACTATTAGATTATCATCAATAGATATTGGACAACAAGTTCGCGCAATTCTTCCACCGGTTTGTTAATTTTATTTAATAAGTTAAAACAATTTGATCAATAGAATATATAGTTTTGAGATTTAAACTAGCAGTTTTCTACTGGTTCTCATCGTTAAACATGTTAATCTACACTTTGTTTTTCATATGCTTATCTTTTTAGGAAGTTTCATCTGACGAAATAACTGAAATATCACGTATACTTTCATCAATTCGAATTTTAAATGATGATGATTCTGAACTTGTAAGTTTATTTTTTTTTGTATATCTATTTCTTAAGTTTTTGTTATTATTTAAGACGGCTTCGGAATTATCATCACTTCATTCTTATCGTACTGATTTATCTCGATCTTGTTCTTTACTGACGAAACATCCAATATTAATTGAAAAATTACTTGCTTTACATCCACAATTTGATTTACGTCGTTATTTTCTATTAGAACAATCTTGTCGTGCTTATTTTACATATTTACAATTAAGTAATATAAATACTCATGGAAATTTAAATGAAAAAAAATTAAATAATAATAATAATGATGATGCATCAAATGTTCTTGTTACATTACGTTTATTACGTGTACTTGTACGTTATCCTCAACAATTACGTACCATATTTGAAACAAATCTTATTAATATGCCAACTGTTGCATGGAAACGTCTTATACCACAATTATTTTCACGTTTAAATCATCCTGATAGTTTTGTACGTGATTATGTAACAAATTTATTAATACGTATAGCAAAAGATTTTCCACAATTAATTCTCTATTCGGTTATTGTTGGAATAACAGATGATTCCAAAATGAGACGAATGAAATCAAGAGATGAAAATATCTATAAAAGAAAATCATTGAGTATACATGGATCAGATGATGATAAATCTCAAGATGAAAATGAAGATGATGATGAAGAAGAAGAAGATGATGATGATGGCATCGAAGAAGAGGAAATTGTTGAAAAACAAGAAAATGTTTTAGCTATGCAAAATAGTTTTCGATTAATTTATAATGTACTTTCGGAAACAAATGCACATGTTGTTGGACAAGTTAAATTATTTGTACATGAATTACGACGTGTAACTGTTCTATGGGATGAACTTTGGTTAGGAACAATGGCACAATTACAAGAAGAAATAAATCGGTTAGTTTTCTCTCATTATATTACTCCTTCTAATAGAAATCGATCAAGAATAGTTTTGTATTTCTTAGCTAATAATCCGATTATTCTCTTTCTCGTACAGGAGGGTCCAGTAATCATAAACTGTTTGCTTGCTTGTGTGTCCGCAGGGTCAAAAAAACATCGAAAACCGATTTTTCGAAAAAGACATTTCTAGAGGTCTGTCGACGCGTAGACTTCGAATCTGTGGTCTGCTGGGTGACCATGGTAGGAGGGGAGGGGTGAGAGGTCAAAAAAACATTGAAAATCAATTTTTTGAAAAAGACATTTTCCGAGGTTTTTCGATACGCATAGTTCGAATCTAAGGTCTGATGGATGACCATCTTGAGGGTAGAGGCGAAGAGGACTCAAAAGTCAAAAAAACATCCAAAATCAATTTTTTACGGTTTACATTTGTTGTTTCAGTAAATGTGAAGAAAATGGGTTTTTACGAGAACGAGCTAAGCGAATCCTCGGACGAGCGTTACTTGTGATAATTTTTTATATGTAAAATATTTACTTTTCTTTAGACGTGTTGATGCACTAAAAGAAGAACTTCAACGTCTTGAACCGATGACACATTTAACAAAAGAAGAAAAAGAATTTTTAATAAAAGAAAAACAAGATGTTTTATTTAAATCTGTAAATTTAATTTATAATTTAAAATATGATTCTTTTCTAATTCTTTCTCATTTAGTTTATCACGGTTCTTGAAGCAGTTAGTCAAGTAACACGTTCAGCTGCAGAAACACCACGTGAACAAACATTTCAAAAAGATTATAGTAAACAAATTGATGCAGCAATTGAACAATTAAAACAACCCATTACATTATCTAATCCACATGCATGTTGGTTACAACTTCGACAAGTAGGGGAAAAAAAACATTATTATTAATATTTTTTTTAATATAATTTAATTTAGCTTTATTCAATGTTACATCGCACTGGTAAACGATCAGGTACAATTCATGCTATGAATCAAATAAGTCCAAAATTAGCACAAATTAAACATAGTGCTATACCAATTCCAGGAGAAGATGGACAGGTTTTAATATATGATTTATATATTGCTTATATTATTTTTGTCATTTTAGTTTCTTACAATTCATAGTGTTGGTCAAACAGTTCAAGTTTTACCAACAAAAACTCGGCCGAAAAAATTAATGTTTGTTGGATCGAATGGTCGTCGATATCAATATTTATTGAAAGGACTTGAAGATCTTCATTTAGATGAACGTATTATGCAATTATTATCTATAATAAATGTAATGTTTACAAAAATCAATCGTAATGAACCATGGTCATATGAAGCTCGAAATTATACAGTTATACCACTTGCATCAAGAAGTGGTTTAATTCAATGGGTTGAAGGTGCAACACCATTATTTACACTATATAAACGATGGCAACAACGACAAGCAACAGCACAAACTTGGAAAGCTCAAGTATATTTTAAGAATTTTTATGTTAAAATTTAAATTTGTTTTTCTTATAACTAGAATGATAATCAAGAAACTACTTTAGCAATTGTACAAAAACCAAATGATATTTATTATTCGAAATTAAATGCTATATTAAAAGAAAAAGTAAAAGAATAAAATAATTTTTTTTAAATCACTTTTTTTTCTTTAAATATAGGGTAAACAACCAGTAGAAGATCGACGTGAAGTACCAATGCCAATATTACGTCAATGTATTGAAGAATTAATACGTGAAACACCAGCCGATTTATTAGCACGGTTTGTTATTTAATTAATTTTATATTGTTATTTTAATTTAATTTTATATATTTAGTGAATTATGGTGTAGTTGTCCAAGCGTAGGTTTATGGTATAAAAATGTTCAAAACTACAGGTATATATTCTTTTATGAAATATTCATAATATCGTATGAATCTCAATCATTTTATGCATTCTTATAATATAAAGAAAACAGAGTATATTGAAGTCATACTATCTTCTACTTGAATGAATATAGTACTGAAAAAAAGGTTAGCAATGATACAGGAGAGGGCCCTAGTCAGTTTTTATGAATTCTATATGAATTAAGAATCCGTCAACCTAATATTCATTTAAAAGTGAGAGAAGCATCCTTTGTTCAAACAATTCAAGTGTGATCCTAAAAACTGCTCTATTACGAGCATGTTTTCATAATAGTACAGAGTTCTTCAGTTAATAAGTAATACTCAGCATCGGTTCCGCTGTAAAATGAGAAACTAGTAAGGTGTACAAAAAGGATAAACGAAGGATAATATGACTTTTAATCTTCAGTCTAATCTAAAAACATATTTTTGAAATTTTAGTCGATCATTAGCAGTTACATCAATGATTGGATATATGATTGGTCTAGGTGATCGTCATCTTGATAATGTTCTTGTTGATTTAAAATCTGGTCAAGTAAGAAAATATTTTTCTATTAAATATAAATAAAATTTTCTTTTTTTTATTTAGATAATTCATATTGATTATAATATTTGTTTTGAAAAAGGTAAAAAATTACGTGTACCTGAAAAAGTTCCATATCGTTTAACACAAAACTTACAAAATGCACTTGGTATTGCTGGACTTGAAGGTGTATTTTCATTATCATCAGAAAATGTTCTTGGAATATTACGTAATGGAAAAGAAATCTTACTTAATTTACTTGAATCATTTATTTATGATCCATTAATTGATTGGACTGGTCATGATACAGGTATACTTTCTGCATTTTATGGTGGACAAAGTAATTTATATGAACAAATAACAATTAAAAAACGTCAAGTAGAAAAAGATGCTCTATTACGAATGTTTCACTTACGTACAATTGAAATACGACAAAATTGGATTAGTTTAGGGTATTATTAAATAAAACTATTTTTAAATATATGTCTATGTAATTCTTTCTTATAGTGAATCAATTAATCGTACAATGAATAAATTAATTCAACGTGTTAATGATATAAATGAATTAGATAAAAATTTATATGAACATGAAATAAAATTAAATATAATGGATAAACGTTTAGATTATTTTAAAACAGCTTTAGAAACTACTTCAACAAATCATTCATTATTTTCATTACTTGATAGGTTAGATATTTTCTTAAAGTAAAATTCATGTTTTAGTTATTTATTTTTTATTTAGACGAAAAAAATTACAAATAATACGAACAGATATGAATACAGCAAGAGATTTAGTTTTGTCACTTTATGAAAATCTTAATGGTATTGTAATGAATAGTGATGTAAGGAAAAAATTTAAATAGATATTTTCGATGTTCTTAATCCAATCGATTTATTTTTAGGAAGCACATCAAGATTTAAAATCGAAAAAATTTTCTGATAAACTTCATGAATTTATTGAAAATGATAATGTTTTAATTAGTACATCACCTGTTGTTCTTGCTGCTGATTTTCTTCAAACAGCAGGAAAATCAACATTACTTCATCAGGTATTAAAAATTAACTTTTTTGTTTTTTTATAAAATAATAATTTTTTTTCGTTTTTAGAGTGAACAATTAGATGATGAACTACGAAATGCTCTTACAATCTATCGAACAGCACAACAACCAACAGTTACAAATGTTTTGAAAGATCTTGTCGAACTTTGTCAATATTTACCTATTGACTATATTCAAACAACATATTTAGCGACACTTAAAAATCATCTAAATGAACTTTATAATGATTTTACAACAGAAAAGTAAATAGTATTTTTTTTACTCGCTAATTTATATTTTTCTATCATATTAAATAGATGTCAAGAATTTTTGAATTTTATTGATACATACTTTCTAATTAACGACACATCATCATCACGTTTAGAATTAATAACACGAACTGTATCTATTGATAAACAATTGAATGAATATACTCAAATTATAAACAAAGAACTCAATGAGGTAAAAATATTTTTGAAATAATTTAACATTTTTTTTTAAATATTATATAGATTTCGGAGTTACAAATATTTCTGAATCAATCATCTAATGATGGTACTATGTATGAAAATCTACTTAATACAAAACTTCAAAGTAAATAAAAATTTCATTAATTTAATGATTTTGTTTTTCTTTTTTTTCTAGATCTCGATGATAATGAATATACAAATTATCGTAATATTCTTTCACTTATGTTATTTGATCGTTGGCAACATTGTCGACAAATGAGTGATAGAGCAAAGATTATTTATAAGACATCATTGACTGATACAAATGATGATACATTTATTAATGAAATATATACACTTATTGGTAATACAGCTTATTTAGCTTCAATTATTAAACAAAATAGTACAATAATAGTAAATGAAATTTTTAATCAAAAACAAAAAACTCTTCTATTTATTTTTTAGTCATTAAATTCTGTATTTATTGATAATGCAGTTAAATTAACTAGCAGTTTGGAAAATATCTTTCGATTATTCAAGGTTAGTAATTTCATAGTTATGTTACCAATCGATATACTGATTACTACATACCATCAAATGCATTATAAATGATATAGTACTGTTATCGATTCAAAAGGAGAGATCATCCTGAGAGTGTGGTGACTGAATAGAGTGTCGTAGACAAATTGGCGTAATGACAAGGATGTGTGGGTGAGAGTGAAAAAGAGTCATGAATTAAATTCGCTCCCTCACATACCCTACATTGACACTCACACATATCATCATGAACCCACTTACGCTCACACCCACCCTCTAACGATGTCCGCGCAGCAATCTGTCATGCGACTCTCTATTCTAGCGCCATGAGTGTGAGTAAAAAATGATTCTAAAATCCAAACTCTCTCTCATTTGCAAACTATCTGAACCAGTTAGATAACCCTTAAACTTTAGTTATGATTTGCTGCGTATAAATTACTATCATATCATATATTTGAATATCTCTACTTTTGTTCTTTTATTGAATAGAATATAATCAACAACTTCGAAATGGTAACAATTCCATGTTTAATTCGTGGTGCTTGTTCTAAACAGAATAGTCTTATGATGTGTATGGATTTATTAAATAATTCTTTCAAACAAATTCAACCAATAGCAAATTCAAATGTATGTTATAATTATTTTATAAAACGATCAATTCTTATTTTTATTTTCTATTCAATAGTCAGCAACATTAAATGATGATATATGCCAAACTATTTATCAGCAACTTCGTTCATCTTGGACAACAAGTACACTATAAAAACATTTGAATACTTCATAACCTAATTCTTTTTTAATATTTTAGCACCTAATGAAATATTCGATACATTTTTAAATCTATCAAATTCATTCGATGATCTTGATAAAGAATTTGTTAATATTTCTACACTTTTTCAAAGTTTAGAAATACCACCTACGTGGTTACAATCATCATTATTTGATTGGAGAAAAGTATGATCTACAAAAAAAATAAATTTAATATTTATATATATATTTCATCTAGACAAATATCGGTAATGATAATCATCGACAAGTTTTAAAAAAGTTTTTTATTATGAGTAAAATTGCAACAATGAAACAAATTTGTCAATTAACTATTGATCATTTACAAACATTTGATAGTAAAGATATATTCTTTTTTAAATTAAATTTTCATATTTTTATTCAATAGATCTTAAATCACAAATAATAAAAGATAATGATTTTAGTAAAATAATAAAACAACTTCTTATGCTTCATATTATTCAAAATGTATGTAAATCACGATTTTTTTTTAAAAATTAAACTTTTGTTTTTTCCTTAGTTTATTGATTTACCATCTTTGGCAACAAGCTATTTAATACTTTCATTAATACCATCATCACAAACGATTCTGGAAAATGATTTTATTCATACTGATATACAATTTCAAGAATTTATCAATAGATTTTGTTTATTAACATCAACATCACAAATCACTGATCTTCAACAATTATTATCAGAAATAAATGGTTTATGGCAAAATCGTAATAATGCTGAGTAAGATCAAATTTTAATTTTTCACTTTGTAATTCAAAAACTTTTTCTTCGTAGACAAATTAAAACATCATTGGAAATATTACAGATAAGAAAACATACAAATGAAATGCAATTACTTGCCTATCGATGGAAAAACTATTATTTACTTGAACCAAATAATAAAAATCAACAACGAAAAGCAATATGTGACGAATTACTAACGGTATGATTTCTAAACGAAAAGCAAATATAATATTGTGATGTTATATGCGAAAGAGACATTTTGCACTAACTTTTTTTTACGATTTCCCTGAAGAGATGTTCGTTAACAGGGTATGGGTGTATAAGTCATTCTTCTCTCATACTACACACACACACTTTTATAATTTACTGTCTGAGCTTAATCTTCATCTCAAACTCAAGTCTTTTTTTTGTGTATTTAAAAGGATCAAGGTATATTATCGATTACGGATAGTACATCGACAACGATTATTGATAAAATAACGAATCTTGAGCAAACAGTTATTCAACGATTAAGATGGGCTGCTGGTGCTAATCCATTAGTACAAGATGTTCTTGTTAAATTTGAAATTCGACAAAAAGAACGTGCTAATGAAATAGATGTATGTTAAAACAAAAAAAATGTTGAATCTTTTCTCTGGAAACAGAATATTTTGTATTTAGAATGATAAACAAGTATGTTCACATCTTGTTAAAATTCTTCAATCATGGTTACTTTTTGAACAATATGAAGAACAAATAAAATTACAAGGAGATTTAATTCTTCATGCACGGACGTTTGCAGAAAAGTATAACTTAAATATTTTATTACTATTAATTGAATTTTGTTTTTCATTTTATCAGAGGGTTAGAAATTTGTCAATTAAAAACAAGTATTGAATCAAATTTTACTACGGTTGAACAAGCTGTATTAGAATTTCAAGTTAGTTTTAATTTTTTTCTGAATTTTATAAATATTCGTTTTTGTTGTTTTGTTTAGCCAATTGAAAATTTAGATCAAATAACATTACAAAATCTTCCATCATTAATTGATCAAGCAGAAAATGAATGTATGAAACAAAAACGAAATCGAATTAAAGAAGAACGAGAACTTGAAAATCGTCGTGTATGTATTGAATTTTTGAATAATATCAATAGATATTTCCGAGTATTATAGATGTAATTTAATATAGATAATTCCTATAGCTTAGAGTTTGAATTAATTCGAAGAAGAAAGTTTTAAATTTGATTAGAAATCAGTGTTGAGTAAAGTCATTGTCAAGATTTTAATATAGAAAATTTCATGGGCTATGTATAGTGTAGATCTAGAATAGAGATATGCGGAACCAGGTTTTCCGGTCCCGATCATAGTAATCTAGAGTCTAGTATATTCTTGGCCCCGGACATCTCTATTCGCAATACAAGTCGCTAATAATTTTTCAATAATTTACAGATCTGAATATTCTGATCTGAGTCTTTCATAGAATTACAACACTTACCTAGTTCAAACATTATATGATCTTCGTTCACGTTGTATTTCGAAGAAACTTAGTTGTTCTACAAAGCTATAGAATCATTGTAAACGATAGATGATTCGAATTGTCTTTTTTTCTTAATAGGATGAAACCAATCATTTAATAAATGAATTAAAAGAACATATGTCTCAACATAATACTATCTTCAAAGATATATCATCTGTATTAAAAAGTTTACTTAAAGTATGTTATATATGAATATTAAAAACTTTCTTATTAAGAAAAAAATATATTAATTTTATTTAAAGATTATTCCACATCAAGCATTAGTCAATTATTCACATATTCATCGTGAATTTCTTGAACTATGCCATACAATTGTTAAACATACACTTCATATTGAAAAAAATAATTCCAGTCGATATGATGAACTTATTACAAAAATGAAACGAATTTTAACAATTAAAACAAAGTAATAAAAGAAAAATATTTTCAAAAAAATTCAAATTATTTTTTCTTCTCTTCTAGAGTTTTTGATGATTTAATTCAATTAAATCCAACGATTGATAATGGTAAATATATCAATTCTTTATTCAATGAAAATATCTTGTTTTTCTTTGTTAATAGAAAATCGAGAAAAACCCAATTCATTAACAGCAAATGCAAATGCTCAACAAGAAACAACAGATAAGACAACAAAAGGTAATTACCTCTATTTATATATTATTTTTTGTTTCTATTAATAAAATATGATTCATTTAGTTATTGAAGAACGAAATAAATATGCTGTTGAAATATGTAAACGAATTCGTGATAAACTTGATGGTTCAGATCCTGATCCATTAATTCAAAGTTCAATTAGTGAACAAGTAAATAAAGAGAAATATTTTAAGAAAAATCAATATCGTTTTTTCTAGGTTCGTTATACAATTCGTGAAGCAACAGATGTTGAAAATTTAGCAACACTTTATGAAGGATGGACATCATGGGTATGAAAAAATTATATATGAATAATTAATGGTTAAAAGAAAAGAAATCAAGCAGCAAGTATATTCTATGGAAGAAATCATAACGTATTGTATTAGAAGAAGAATCTATTGAAACATCAAATATAAATTTGTCTTTTTTTTTCATGGTTATGATCATCAGTCAATTTTATTTGTATTTTTCTGTGATTGAAGTATCAAAGTTTAAATGGATATTTTTCTTTTTTTAATCCAGAGTTTTTGTTACGGTTATATTTAAAAAAAAATAAATAAACGAGAACTATTTCCTTAA